CTGACTCGCGCAGCTGACCTCGGATCGGCGCATGAGCCGTCATTCACGCAACGACATCCCTGCTCACCGCAGGTGGTCAAATGATTGGCACATCTGTAGACTTATCCAGTTGGGCTTAACGGGCCCATGCTCGATTAGGGATAGAGGGCCCACCGTTCGGTACTGGGAGCCCTGACTGGTACAGGACTCTTCTTTTACCTCAATATGAACGCCCATCGTGAGTTTTTATGTTTTCTTCAGTTGTCAGAGGGCCCCGACCAATGCAAGGGGCCTTCTGCCATTCCGGCTCCCGTCCCCGTCCCTGTTGAGAAAATTTCCTGTGACCTATTCGAAACCCATTGTTGGCGCAGAATTCCTGTTAGGGACTGTGAGCCCCTGAACGATACAGAATCCTGACCAATGTAAATTACGGGCCAGGCCGTGTCCCTGCTTGGGAAATGGACTCTGAGATCTCAGACCAACACGGAGTCGGCCTAAATAGTGGAACGCTCTGTCTCATGGGTCTCTATCTGTGCCAAAGATCATCTTATTGACAGTTGATATTATGGGTCTTTGGGTGGGGTTCCTTAATGTGACTTGCAGCCAACCATTTGTACCCTTCATCCATCCCATAGGGCCTTTGATCTTTGGTCTCGAAAGACCCTTTGGCCCCTCTTCGGGCCCCCTCAAACAACGCTCCGACTCGGGTCCACTTGCCGCCACAGGACCCCTGTTCGACACTGTGGCCCTAACCGATACCCGAGCCCCTCATTGTGTCAGGGAGCCCAAACATTGCAAATCGCGGACCCCGGCCTCGTTTTTGCTTGGAAAATGAGTCTCAAGAGCTTGGACGGAATGGAGCCGGCTGTTCGGTGTTCGTGGTCTCTGATTGACTTAAAGATCCGCATTGTCTCAGGGGTTCCTCAAACGGTGCAAAAGGACCACCGACTGATATTTCAGGTCACGACCCTACTGACTGCGATTTTTTATGTGACCTACAGCCAGTCCACTGGGACCGTATGTCCTCCGATCGGGCCTCGGATCGTTGGCTCCGGTGGGCCGCCTGGCCCCTCTTGGGGCCTTATCAAATACTTCCATTGGTCGGCTCAAGGCCCTTGGGAGCACAGGACTCTCTGTAAGACGCTGTGGGCCCCCGACAGATGCAATACCTCGGACCAGTGTAAATCATTGGCCCCGGCTGTACAGCTAATTGGGAAGTGGGCCCTCAGGCCCATGCCGACGCTGAGCTATGTGGTACGGTTGTACCTGACCGACACATAGGCCCATATCGACTCAGGAGATCCCCGATCGACGCAAAGGGTCCTCTGACGGTTATCGGAGGGTTCGTATTCATAGTCCGGGGCCCCTGAATAAGACTCCGACCAGCCCCCCGTGTCCTTAAACCCTCCAATTGGGCCCTTGATTGTCGTACCCAGTGGGCCCTTTAGGATCACCGAGCCTCATCAAACATTGCCTTGGGTGACTCAGGGCCCCTTGACAACACTGGGTCCCTGTCAGGCGCTGTGGGGCCGAGCAATGTAAATCGTCGGCTACGGCTTTGTCCCCTCTTGGAAAATGGACCCTTGGACCCACGCCGCCACTGGGCCGAATGTGCGTTACTGGCGGTGTCTGACTGAAATGTGGGAATATCCGTTCAGATCGGGTTTACCCTTTCGTATTTGAAAGGGCCCCTTTCAGTCCAAGCGTTCGTTTAGGTCTTGGGGACCATATTTACCCGACAGGTGCATTCCCAGTTCTGGGGTGTATTTCCAGCCTTTCAAAAGGCATTTTCAGGCATGTAAATGCCATTTTAAGTCCAATGAATGCATTTTTCACGGCCCGGGTGCGTCTTAAAGCTCTCATGAGTGAAGCACTGGACCTCATTTCATGTGCATGAGACGCCGCCGACAGCATATCGGGGTAAGACATGTGCCTGAATCCCAAGCGGGGATCCAATGGCTCCATGTTGCGGAATCCCGTGATCTTTTTGGGGTATCCAGGCGCAGGTCTGATCAGGACAACATGTGCTTTCGTGGTAGTCAACATGGCACCGTCGGTACCACATTGACCAGCAACCCGGCATTCCATAAAGGGCGCCTTTAGCGTCCAAAGAGACCATGACCCAATAGCCCCCCCCCCCCCTCTAAATGAACCACTGACGCCGTCGTCGATCTCCCTCGCTGTCCAGCATACGATCCGTAAGGGGATTTCCGAGATCCGATAATGTATCTCTTCGCATCAATGATGACCTCTGCATCGATCCGGGGCAAAATGCCCGGGTCAGAGGGCCTCCCGCGTCAGGGAGGCAAAAAGTGTATGATGTGGCCCTCTACGCGCCCCCGGATCGCCAGTGGACCTCGCCCCTTGTAGCCAGAGTGGTGGCCGGTAGGCACCCCGCACTAGGACGAGTGGCCCTTCAGTCCTTGCTCGGGAACGATAAGGTGCCCCTGGTGTTCTACTCACGGAAAAACCAGAAAAAAGTTACGAGGTTTCGTAAGTGTTAAAGGGAGGATCAAAATGACCTCAAATGAGAAAAAGCCCCAACCCATGTTTGCCCATGGATGTCCACGCTTTTCAGAATTGATTCGTGAAACGAACACATAACAAAGTTTTGAGCCTGCACGCTCGCAACATACCAGCAAAAACACCGATGGCCGGGCTGGCAGGCTCCTTAAAATCAAACGGCCCTGGCCGCGGCTCAAAACACGCCATGCATGAAGCTGCAGCAACTATGAGAAGTAGAGATTCTGCCTCTACGCTTCCAGTTCCGCCACCAGATGCCAGCACCGGTCCGCGGAGCTGTGAATGGTAATCCGTTCCGATCTGTTCAATAGAATCGTACAAATGAAACACGTGGCCGGAATTCCTTCTAAAGGTGCAAGTTGGTCTTCTAAAGTGTTCAAATTCTTATTTCAAATGGGTCATAATTCCGTCCGTCTTTGACCGTCATCTAGCGAGGAGGACGCTGCGCGGCCTGCGAAGACTGCAACGCCGGGCGTTGATATTTATGTCCAAGACTTGCGAGCGCGCTTGTTACACCTCTGATATTTTTGTTTCATAAGCAAATCTGACCGAGGGTCGAACATTTCCAGACGAATGTGGGTTGGCCATGTTTATATAACGTGTTTGCTCCATGTCCATTTACAACTTACGTTCGACAGACAAACCCTGGCAGAGCCTTTGGGTGCTCTCAGTTTCAAAGCCTTACTGAACCACTGTGAAATGGCAAGCGCCGGCAGTTTATTCCATGCAGTCATTTAATGGCCACCTGGTTAAGCTTTTGACTTCAAAACACAGAGTGCATCTTCCGTTAGTTCTGGCCTCAGGTGGAAGTGAAGCAAAGACCGTGCCCTTGAAATCTGGCCGTCCATATTCGGTGATTTTGGGCAGCAGGGTAGCGTCTTTTAACATCACGGAACCTTTGTCAACCCTCTGTACCCTCTCCTTACCCTCCAACCAGCCCCCGCCCGTAGGTAAGGCAAACAAAACAATACAAAGCATAACCGGATATCAGGACATTTTAATGACGTTGAGGTGGCATGCTGCTGCAAGACATGGTATCCATTGTTTTCATATGAAAATGGCACGCGTTCTCCATGTGGTGTAGGCAACACACGTCCATTTGCCCTGAGCTCTGCTCTCACTGATAGGTCCGTCCATTCCGCGCGGCTAGAGCCTCCATAGCACCTTCCAAGTCATTTCTGGCTTGGTTGTATAGCTATTTTATGGTAACCTGGAATGACCCCTGTCAATTATAAAGTTGTTCGGAATATGCTTTAACATCATGGTACCCATCGCGAAAATGGAATTTCAAAATATGTTTGGGCGGCCTGCGTTGTGTACAATAGGTTCATACGGCACACATAAAACACTGCTTTGGGGAGGAGAAACAGATGGGAGGGTCTTGGCCTTCAACTGTACGTGGGCTCCCCCTCCCCGTCCTCCGGGTTCGCTTCCCGGGTGAATCTGCGGCCACCAGGGCATCACGAGCACGGAAATCACTCGCGCTCCAAGAAATTATTGCGCAACAACTTGTACCACATGATCGACAACACAACCACTACCTATGATTACCAGGTGAGGTGACCTCGAACTAATCGTACAAAAACATTCAGGGCACATCAAGAGATGTTGTCGCATGTATTGTCAACGCGCGCTCAGTTTGTACACGTGCACTTTCCTCTGCGCATCACCGAGCTACCGAAGCCAGCGAGCTAGATCGCTCCTCACCCCAACCACGGACATGCCACTGACGTTCGACAACAGATCATTTGAGAACCTCGGGCGGACGAGAGGGTGCTGATCAGACATCCGTTCCCACCAGCACACAAGCCAAGGTTTAAGGGCATACTAACAACGGAAACGGCGAGAGTAAGGCAACTATGATCAGGCGATCAACAACCAAGAGCCGGTCAGGATCCATCAGTATCACAGACGTCCAGGAAAACGTGATGCTCATAGCAACAGCCACGTCAATCATTGAAAAGGTCCGAGTTCAACGCGCCGCACGCCTAAAGGTCACGACCGGTGACAACACGAGTCTGACGCATGCGGCAACCTAACCTTTGGAAAATAGCAGGACCGCAATGGTCAACGCTGACAAGGAATCGTAATCGCAAAGCCAACACGGCAACAGCAACACGCGCGTGCCATACCTCGTGTTCAAAATCAAGAAAACCGGTACAAAAGCGGGAGATACAAAACACGCAATGAGTGTAAAATAAGCGATTTAATACGTAAGGAAGCTCACAGGTCGTAACAAAACCATGTTAGGAGAACACAAGGACGGATTGCCTGTCACAGAGCTGCCGTATACAATCCTGCAACAAGCCCAGCGGGTTGCCGTGCGCGACGAGCCGCCCGCCTATCCCAGGTTTGACAACGAAAATAAGCGGCATCAACTAGCACCGCACCGCGACCAGCAACCCGTCGCATCTCACGATTATGAAAACATCGTCGACGAAGCCGGCTACCACTTCGCGACTGCGACGCCCCCCCCCCCCCCTCCCCCCTGCCGGTACTCAGAGCAGCCACGTGACCACCAGGCTGCCGGCGGCCACCCAGTGGCTGGCGAAGCCCAGCGCCTCCCACTTGTCGAGCGTGTGCCGCCAGTGGTAGCCGCTGGCGCCGGCCGAAGAACCGTCGAACACGACGCCCAGATAGGCCAGGTGGAAGGCGGCCAGCAGCGCCAGCGGCAGGTTGAGGGCGCGCGCCGCCCAGCGACCGGCCCCCGCGTGCCGGCTGCACGGCTGAGCGCAGCGTCGCGCCAGCACGCAGAGGCCCAGCGCGTCGCCCAGCTGGCCGCGCAGCCGGTGCTCGGTGTACGTGTAGACGCCCAGCGAGAGCAGCACGGCCGCCAACTGGAAGTTGAGGCCGTGCAGCACGGCACTGGCGCCATAGGTGCAGAGCACGGCCGCCGCCGTGCCGGCCGGCCGCGCCACGCGGAACACGTCTGTGGCGGGGGCGCCGTGTCAGGTGCCCACCGAACGGAATGGCCGACACTGATTGGCTGCTCCGGAATTTGGAAAGCAGGGACGAACGCGTCCGCCGCGGCGGCGCATGTGACAAACTCGCCCCTAAATATGGGTCAAAGGTCAGCATGACCAAAAGCTGAGCATGTCATACATAAGCATGGCCTGCATATCACGGCGCATGAAAAGCGAGATAACAGAACGCAATAATAGTCTAGCGACACGCATACGCGCCGAAGGCTTGTACACATGTTTAACCTTGTCATCAATCAAGACAGTTACGCACGGATCGGAACCCTCCTCTAGCCTGCCAGCCACCTAGCGTACGCATCCACGGGACCATCTCATCGCTGATAAACAAAGCGAAACTCACAAGTTTTGAGCCAGTAGTGCATGGGCAGGTTCCAGTTGACGACCACCTCAACCAGCGAACGTGGCGCTTCAATGGCGGTAGGTCGGCTAACCAGAAGTTCGCCGCTCGGCGACCAGACGGCGCTAGTGATGCCTGGAGAAGTCAGCGCAATCGACGATTTGACGGATCCCATCCTTAATACTGAAGGCGAGCCTGCACATCTGATGTACAGTAACTGGCTATTCAGCGGAGCATGAAGATGACCGCCATCAGACAGCCCCACTTAAAGGGCTGTATGATATCCAATGTGTCTGCCTCAAGATACAATTAAAAAACGAACAATCCTCATTACTGTGCTCTGCCAGACGCCGACCAGAGCTTACCTGACACGTTGGCCGCAGCTTGGGAGACAAACGAAACAAAGTAGTGGCTGGAGCGGAAAGACAGCGCCTCTCTGTAGGCCACGATCCACATGGAGATACTGGGAAACATGCACAGGGCAGATCAGACTGGCATCAACGTGGCTGTGGCTGTCGCCGTCAACCAAGACCGGCTTAGTAAGCTCACTAGCACCAAGACTGCATTCAGGAAAGATAACAGAACACAAGGCGACTGTAAGATATCCGAACTTACTCTTCCAACAAGTGCACTCAGCCCACCGCAGATGAGGAATTACCGAAATTTTAAATTTTCCCACCATAATTCTCACCCGAAACTAGTGATAATCGTGAATTACACGCCCATGTAAGGAAGAAGCATTCAGAGGAACAGCTGCGCAACTCACAGCACGAGCCGGTCGGGGAGCAGCCAGTTGAGCCAGCAGGTGGAGACAGTCATGAAGACCAAGCCTAGCACCAGGCTGCCTACCGACGTCACCACCCAGCGCATGCTGGCCAACTGAAAACGCGCAACGCACGCCACGTCACTCATCTCGGCTGGATGCAGCAATACAGCGATCCTGATCATGACACGTCTCCGACGTCAACGAGCAGCTGCAGCACACGCTGCCCAAGACGCCACGCCTAACACGCCCAGAGTACGGTGTCGGCGAACCAGGACGACCGCCGGCGGCGGCGCGGCAGCAGCGCACCTGGGCCGGCCGGGTCTGCACGGCTGCCGTGTAGTCGGCGAGCGCGATCCACAGCCCGAACACGACCACGCAGCAGCGCACCTGGGCCGGCCGGGTATGCACGGCTGCCGTGTAGTCGGCGAGCGCGATCCACGGCCCGAACACGACCGTGCCCGGGTGCAGCAGGTAGCCCGCGTACTGAAGCGGTCCGGGTGGCGGCGCGGCCGGGCTCCCGTCCAGACCGGCCGACACGGCCTTCATCATCAGAATCATCTGGGCGCCGCGCACGCTGTGCCAGCGCGCCGCCTCCACCAGCCACAGTTCACTGAAACATGCACACGCCATGACAGAGAGAGTGATGTGGCCAGAGCACACAGCTACAGCCCGCCGGAGCACGGCCACACACGAGGAGAATGAGAACACACAGACACGTCAGGCCAGATCAAAATCTAAAAAATGAGCACACCGTCACAGCCTACTGACATGGGACTCGGCAGGCCTCCCACCAGACTCATTACATCCCACCATGAAGCCTCAGCCAGGTCGTCCCGCATCGCCAATGGCAGGGCCGGCGGCAGCTGCCTAACGTAATTTATGACACCTCTCGGCCGGGCCTGCTGTACTCGACGCCGTCCGCGGCCGCGCCCAATGCCGCACGGCAAGTTCCCCGCTCGCTCCGAGCGACTCACCAGCTGAGTACAAACGTGAGCGAGACGGCTGTCACCAGGAGGCCGGCGTAGCGCGGTGCGAGGCGCGTCACCGCCGCCAGCGTCACGTATGAGAGCGCCGCGTGCACCACGAACGTCACCAGCAGGTCGGTGAAAAAGTGGTGCAACACCAGGCAGCCGATCAGCGCCGAGGCCAAGTGCACCATGCAGCTGGTCCGGCCCGAGGCTGGCGGCGGGCGTGTTGGTCAACAGGACAGCTTCCAGGGATGGAGGTGTGTGTGTGGGGGGGGGGGGGGGGGAGGAGAACTCGTCGGTGGCCGGGTGTGGTGTGTTGGTCAACAGGATGGCTCCAAGGCATAAGGAGGGAGAGGGGAGGGACCCGAACCTGGCGGCGGCCGGGAGTGGTAGTCAGCCAGGCGACCCCGAGGCATAGGGAGTGAGGGGGAGGGACTCGACCCTGTCCGTGAAGAGGCGTAATGGTCAGCCAGATGGCTCCGGAAGATGGGAAGTGAGGGGGAGGGACCTGAACCTGCTGGCGGCCGGGCGCGGTGGTCAGCCAGACGGCTCCGAGGGATGGGAAGTGAGGGCACGATGGCACAGTGGATTGTGTGAGACCGAGACAGCACTAGCTGGTGCCAGCTTTCAGCTTATTTATGAGGGAGGTCGATAGCTTTCAGCTTGAATATCAAATTACAATGAGCAAAGTAGGTGTGCATATGCATAAAAGGCGACAGCATTTTTCTTTTGGACTACTGGATAAGCCAAAACACATATACATGATTCATTGAATAATACATTCGGCATTACCATTATACATAGCAACCACTGAAATAAATATTTAAGGCATACTCACACAGAGTGACAATGATGCGGAGCACAAAACACCAGAAAAGCAGCTTGCCAATGTGACCTATGGCATCATTGGTTGTAGGCAGAACACAGTGCTCAACAGTTTCTTGGAAAGAGAACCCTTCATCATTGAATGGGCTGTCATCAGCATCATACTCATAGTCATCAATGTCCTCTTCCTGGCCATACCCATACTCCAGGTCTTCCACATCCACCCCATCAGCATAATCCATCAGCCCATCCATCTGTGGGACAACATGTTAATATCATACATGCAAAGCATGTGCCCAGTTCTGTCAGGACTGGTGCAGTAACTAAAATACATACATAAGTAAAATACATGCATGCCCCACTCCAGGGGTGAGATTCTCTGCTCAGTTGGGATTGGGGAGACTTCAACACCCAACTTTGCAAAGAGTGGGTCAAGTCCAGGGGAGAAATTCCATTGCTGATATTATGGGGGGAAAATGCATCAATTTTTGCTGATCAGCCCCATCCATTGCTCATGTTGGGAATACCAGAATCTGACCCAACCAATAACAGAGGTGGCAATTTTGTGAGAGATCTCAGATGAACCATAAGAAAGTAAACAAAACAACTTAAAGGGCATGTGTGTGTGTGTGTGTGTGTGTGTGTGTGTGTGTGTGTGTGTGTGTGTGTGTGTGTGTGCGTGCGTGCGTGCGTGCGTGCGTGCGTGCGTGCGTGCGTGCGTGCGTGCGTGCGTGCGTGTGTGTGTGTGTGTGAGTGTGTGTGTGTGTGTGTGTGTGTGTGTGTGTGTGTGTGTGTGTGTGCGTTCGTGTGTGTGTGCGTTCGTGTGTGTGTGCGTTCGTGTGTGTGTGCGTTCGTGTGTGTGTGCGTTCGTGTGTGTGTGCGTTCGTGTGTGTGTGCGTTCGTGTGTGTGTGCGTTCGTGCGTGCGTGCCTTGCGTGCGTGCATGATTTGGGTTTTGGAACACATTCAGCTTCAGAAGCTATATGGCATCATAGCATCTCACACTGGGAAAAGGAACCATGCATAATTAAAACTCAGTACCTTTGGTTTCCCAGATGTACAGGTCAACCACCACACTTACAATACTGCTATTTGAGGTTTGAAGACAAATTTAAGGTGTCCATTTAGCAAGGTAATTTAGAATCTACATACAAGATGTCCCAAGCTGAATGTTATGGTGACAACACTCTTGGCTGGGAGCTGGGCCCAAACCTCTAACACATGCTATATAAAATCACAGCATGGTCAAACCCACGTACAATTACATAGTCTTTGACAAAAGACAAGCAAAAATGCATGAGAGATATCATTTAAGTGGCTTTTTCTGAACCAGCTCCATATCACAGTAACCACAACATTATTTACCCCTAGACATGATCAATAGTGGCCACAATGCCTGCATATTCTGCACCCATTAGTTGTAATATGAATATTGCAATTCTGAGCTTTGCCATTTTGAGCAAAACCTATGTCCACTCATGTCAAGGCATGAATGCTGGCAGGAAGCAACCACCATGTTTCCACAAGGATTCAAAAGATGGAATACTCTGCTGCAGCCATGCACCTCAAAATCCCAAAATCATAATCTAGCCCAAACATTTGTTGAAAAAAGGCCCCATACACTATCAAAGACAACCTCAAAGCAAAATTACATACCTATCCAAGAAAACAAAACTGATGGTCAAGCTGACAGGGTATCCTTTGGCCCTCTCGCTTACATTCTTGCTCTGGTCATAAAACAAAAAACAGATACCTACCCCCTCAACCTACCTGATCTCACTTCTCAATGTTTAAGCTCAGAAAGAGTACGTTTACACCAAGTACAAATAGCTACTGGCCAGTCACATGCGTTGAGTGTTATCGTCCGCAGGCCGCAACGTCCCAAGTTGCCCCGCATCAGACTTTACGTAGCACTCTTTCTCTAAGATCCCATGGAACTGCCGAGGCCTCCTTCCCGACAAGACCACTAAAAGCGCTGGAAGACGCTACCTCCAGGCCAAAGCTCCGGTCAAACCGGTCAACTTCGAGGCGCCGGAGCCCGGACTCCCCCTCCCCCACATCGCCTTATATGCAATCTGCCAGGCCGGCTCTCCGACCTCTCCAAGTCGGTCTCTTCCACAGTTTTGTGCCGGTGTTGTCACATGGAGCCAGAAATTACGGCGTGTTTATAAAGTAATTAAATCAGCCGATTTCGTGTTGAATCATCTTTGGTGAGTAAAATGTGAGAGATGCGCCATAAGTATTACCAAGTGATTTAGAACACGTTCAAAGATGTAACTTAACCGAATAGCTCAAAATAAAAAAGCCACGAGTTCGCAAATTATTCATGTAGTTTATATGGTACAGTTAGCCGGTATATGGTAGCTGTTTCATGATACAGTTATAGCAGTTTTAAGATAACCCTGGCATAAGTGGGATTTGCCTGTTAGATAGCCTTAAATTTGCCACGTGCATCAAGTTAGATCCATATTACACATTCACATTCGCGTGTCACATTCGATCTACTGACCAATTACAATGAAATTTAGCTCACAGATGGAGCTAATTATGCCATTGACAAATATACTTTGATGCCCGTAGGTATCCAATATAGGGTTTTCTTCAAGTACTTCACCTTTTTTAGAAGAAGAAAAATCTCCACCGCGAGCGTTTTACGCGCAGTGCGGCACGGGCTCAACCAGCTCGCGTTAGCAGGATTGCCCGACTTTGAAATCATACAATCCAAACGACATCTTTAGCACCAAAAGTAATGAGCAGGCAATTAACATCATTCACTACGTCGTTTCGACCATTGCTACTCACAATGCTCGCATGATTGCCTATCATGTTCAAGAAATAACCATCTGATGATATAATAATTTCGGCCACAAACAGGTCATATGATTTTTAACACGCAGACAGCCGACGATTTATAGCATGTACTAAAATGGCAACATAAGCACCAAATTACGTACATTCGAGCAATCAAGAAAAGCATCCCAGTCCTTTACATTCGTGTCTCGAATTGATGTTTCCAAACAGACAGCACAGAGAAAAACCCAACAATGTCGGCGGAACTGAAGCATTTCCAGCAGTCTTAAAAAACGGACCAAGCCACGGGAACCAAACACCGAAGCCAAGCCAGCGTTTTCGGTGCGGTACATTGACGTCTATTAGCGCAGTGTATCTCATACACGAGTTCGGATAATGTGATTCACACTTATTAGGACCAAGCACATCGTGACGACATTGTCGCTTAAACTACAACACTTGGGTTCAATTAATATGACTACTCCGTTGCCGTGACATGCTGCAATCATGTGCAGAGGGACTGTCGTAGTACCCTCTTAAAGTAGTGCACCTCCTGTACAATTCCAACGAGCAAGGCTTGAAATCGCTCTGAAATCTAGAGACATACTCTGCCGAGATAATATGCCAACAGCCACCCTAAGGAAACGGATCAAGCCTCGGGAAACGAAGACTGAAGCAAGGCCAGCGTTTTCGGTACGGTACACATACGTCTGTTAGCGTAGTGCACCTCACACACGAGTCCGGATAATGCAATTCACACCTTTAGAACTAAACACGTCGTGCTGACAATGTCGATGGAACTGCAAGACTTCGGTCCGATGAATAAGACTCATGCATTGCCGTGAGATGCTGCAATCATGTCGTGCAGAGGGGCAGTCGTAGCACCCTCTTAAAGTAGTGCACCTCTTGCACAATTCCAACGAGCAAGGCTTGAAATCGCTCTGACATCAAGAGACACACTCTGCCGAGATATTATGCCAACAGCCACCCTAAGAAAACGGATCACGCCCCGGGAAACGAGGACTGAAGCAAGGCCAGCGTTTTCGGTACGGTACATATACGTCTATTAGCGTAGTGCACCTTATACACGAGTCCGGATCATGCGATTCACACTTATTAGGACCAAACACATCTTGCTGACGATGTCGGTGGGTATGCCAGACCACGGTCCGATGAATAAGACTCATGCACTGCCGTCAGATGTTGCCATCATTAGCGGACGGACTGCAGTAGCACCCTCTTCAAGTAGTACACCTCTTGTATAATTCCAATTGGCGAGACCTAGAAACCACTCTGACATCCAAAGACGTTCTCTGCCGAGATAATATGCCAACAGCCACGCTAAGCAAACGGACCAAGCCCCGGGAACCGAAGACTGAAGCAAGGCCAGCGTTTTCGGTACGGTACATATACGTCTGTTAGCGTAGTGCACCTCACACACGAGTCCGGATAATGCGATTCACACTTATTAGAACTAAACGCGTCGTGCTGACAATGTCGATGGAAATGCAAGACGTCGGTCCGATGAATAAGACTCATGCATTGCCGTGAGATGCCGCCATCATGTCGTGCAGAGGGACTGTCGTAGCACCCTCTTAAAGTAGTGCACCTCTTGTACAATTCCAGTGAGCAAGGCCTGAAATCCCTCTGACATCCAGAGACATACTCTGCCGAGATGATATGCCAACAACCACCCTAAGAAAACGGACCAAGCCCCGGGAAACCAAGCAGCGTTTTTGGTACGGTACATATACGTCTGTTAGCGTAGTGCACCTTATACACGAGTCCGGATCATGCGATTCACACTTATTAGGACCAAACACATCTTGCTGATGATGTCGGTGGATATGCAAGACTTCGGTCCGATGAATAACACTCATGCATTGCCGTCAGATGTTGCCATCATTGGCGGACGGACTGCAGTAGCACCCTCTTCAAGTAGTACACCTCTTGTATAATTCCAATTGGCGAGACCTAGAAACCACTCTGACATCCAAAGACGTACTCTGCCGAGATAATATGCCAACAGCCACGCTAAGCAAACGGACCAAGCCCCGGGAAACGAAGACTGAAGCAAGGCCAGCGTTTTCGGTGCGGTACATATACGTCTGTTAGCGTAGTGCACCTCACACACGAGTCCGGATCATGCGATTCACACTTATTAGGACTAAACACATCTTGCTGATGATGGTATAAGGTACGCTGCGCTTATAAATATATATGTACCGTACCGAAAACGTTGGCCTCGCTTCGGTCTTCGGTTTCCGGGGCTTGGTCCGTTCCCTTAGAATTGCTGTTGACACGTTATTTCGGTACAGTGTGTCTTTGGATGACAAAGCCGTTTTTAGGTCTCGTCAACGAATTATGCAAGAGGCGCACTACTTTAAGAAGGTGCTACTACAGTCTGTCCGCACATGATGGTGACATCCCACGACAGTGCATGAGTCTTATTCATTGAATCAAACCATTGCAGCTCAACCGACATTGTCGGCACAATGTGTTTATTTCTACTTAGTAAGAAGGGCTCTTGTTTCAGGTGCACCGTACGACTAAACGTATATGTACCGTACCTAAACCGTTGCCTTTGTTTCGGTCCTCGGTTCCAGGGGCTTGGCTTTGTTCCTCAGGGTCCGTGTCGGGATGTTATCTCGGCGGGGGTGTGTCTTTGCCTTTCAGAGTGGTTCTTAGGTGTCGCCAATCGGAATTATACAAGAGGTGTACTACTTTAAGAGGGTGCTACTACAGCCTGTCCGCACATGATGGCAGCATCTCACGGCAATGCATCAGTCTTATTCATCGGACCGAAGTCTCGCAGTTCCACCGTCATTGTCAGCGCGATGTGTTTAATTTCCATAAGTGTGAATCGCCTGATCCGGACTCGTGCATGAGGTGCACTGCGCTAATAGACGCATATGTGCCGTACCGAAAAAGCTGGCCTAGCTTCAGTCTTCGGTTCCAAGGCTTGGTCCGTATCCTTAGGATTTTTATTGGCATATTATCTCGGTAGAGTATGTCTTTGGATGTCAGAGCGGTTTTTAGGTCCCGCCAATTGGAATTATACCAGAGGTGTACTACTTGAAGAGGGTGCTACTGCAGTCCGTCCGCCAATGATGGCAACATCTGACGGCAATGCATGAGTCTTATTCATCGGACCGTGGTCTGGCACATCCACCGACATCGTCAGCAAGATGTGTTTGGTCCTAATAAGTGTGAATCGCATGATCCGGACTCGTGTGTAAGGTGCACTACGCTAATAGACGTATATGTACCGTACCGAAACGCTGGCCTTGCTTCAGTCCTCGTTTCCCGGGGCTTGATCCGTTTCCTTAGGGTGGCTGTTGGCATAATATCTCGGCAGAGTATGTCTCTGGATGTCAGAGCGATTTCAAGCCTTGCTCGTTGGAATTGTACAAGAGGTGCACTACTTTAAGAGGGTGCTACGACAGCGCCTCTGCACGACATGATTGCAGCATCTCACGGCAATGCATGAGTCTTATTCATCGGACCGAAGTCTTGCAGTTCCATCGACATTGTCAGCACGACGTGTTCAGTTCTAAGGGTGTGAATCGCATTATCCGGACTCGTGTGTGAGGTGCACTACGCTAACAGACGTATATGTACCGTACCGAAAACGCTGGCCTTGCTTCAGTCTTCGTTTCCCGAGGCTTGATCCGTTTCCTTAGGGTGGCTGTTGGCATATTATCTCGGCAGAGTATGTCTCTGGATGTCAGAGCGATTTCAAGCCTTGCTCGTTGGAATTGTACAGGAGGTGCACTACTTTAAGAGGGTACTACGACAGTCCCTCTGCACATGATGGCAGCATGTCACGGCAAACGGAGTAGTCATATTAATTGAATCTAAGTGTTGTAGTTTAAGCGACAATGTCGTCACGATGTGTTTGGTCCTAATAAGTGTGAATCACATTATCCGGACTCGTGTATGAGATGCACTGCGCTAATAGACGTCAATGTACCGTACCGAAAACGTTGGCTTGGCTTCGGTGTTTGGTTCCCGTGGCTTGGTCCGTTTTTTAAGACTGCTGGAAATGCTTCAGTTCCGCCGACATTGTTGGGTTTTTCTCTGTGCTGTCTGTTGGAAATATCAATTCGAAACACGAATGTGAAGAACTGGGATACTTTTCTTAATTGCTCGAATGTACGTAATTTGGTGCTTATGTTGCCCTTTTAGTACATGCTATAAATCGTCGGCTGTCTGCGTGTTAAAAATCATGTGACCTGTTTGTGGCCGAAATTATTATATTATCAGATGGTTATTTCTTGAAGATGATAGGCAATCATACGAGCATTGTGAGTAGCAGTGGTCGAAACGACGTAGCGTATAATGCTAATTGCCTGCTCTTTATTTTTGGTGCTAAAGATGTCGTTTGGATTGTATGATTTCAAAGTCGGGCAATCCTGCTAACGCGAGCTGGTTGAGCCCGTGCCGCACTGCGCGTAAAAGGCTCGCGGTGGAGATTTTTCTTCTTCTAAAAAAGGTGAAGTACTTGAAGAATACCCAATATAGGAGCATGTTGGTATGTTTGCATTGTATATTAACACTTTCGCTGCAAAGTCAGGCCTCACATACATACAGAGCCCAGACTGCAGAAATGTACTGGATGTCAAACATTTCTGGCATAGCAGCAATTTGCAGTAACTATTTCTGATCATGTATGCTGTTAGGTTGTTGCATGTTTCATATTTGAACTATTACATAAACTGTTGCACTTGGAATTTATTGCTAAGCTGAACTAATTTCATTGCATTGAATACCTGTGTTTTGAGAAGTTGATATTTCAGAGGTATTTTCAAATGCATTTTAAGTGAATAAGTTAAGTCAGTTTTAGAAATGTTCACACAGATGTTTTGTCCTCCATACAGGTCTTGGATTCATAAATTACCTGCTTGCTGCAATCAAATGTAAAGTCAGCTATCTAACCACCAAAGAAAAATGGGGTTTTTGAGAATATACAGGCTGCAACATGCTGTACTTACAAGATTGGTTAAACATCAGACATTTACTCAGCCACTGTGCAGTACACTGCAAGTAATGCAAATGCATGCAGCCAGAAATGAATCCCCTAAAATCACACCTCAGAGTGATAGAAGAATTCTGCATAATTGCATGTTAATTAGACTTTCCAAGTCTGAGGGGAGAGAGCTGCAAAGGGCAAGACTGAAGGCCCAACAAACTGCAGTGGATGGAGAGCATGCACCTGCCATGCCTACCTGTGCCTTCTTCAGTGCTCTAGGAACAGACAGCATTCATTCAAGCCATAACTCTCTGGCAGCTGAGGCACCACTGGAGTCAACAGAGTCATCCATGTTTCCATTTGCTGCTGCATCTCTGGTGGAGTTCACAGAACCTGGTGAGCAGCAGGATGAGCATGACACACCTGATGACACGCAGCTGCAGCAAACAGTGCGTGAGCGGCTACAACTGCTGCGCGAGCAGGCGGTGCGCGAGCAGGCTGCCGACGCAGACACTGATGACCAGGACCTGTGGGTGCTACGCTATGGCCACCCGGACCCATCTGTGCCGGCCAGCCAGGTGGTGTGCGGCGGCTGCGGCGCGCACCTGCACTGCCAGGAGCCGTCGTGGCCCGGCTATTTGCCGTCGGAGGTGCTGCGTGCAGCACCAGAGGCCGAACTGCGCGACCTCATCTGCCAGCGCTGCTACTTCCTGCGCTTCCACAACGCCGCTATCAACGTCAGCGTGCGGCCGGACGACTACTCGCTGATGATGCGCCAGATGGAGAACAAGTCGGCGCTGCTCGTGCTCGTGGTGGATCTGCTCGACTTCCCCTGCAGCGTCTGGCCCGGCCTGGCGCAGCTCGTCGGTCAGTTGTCGGCAGCTGAGTGGAATGTACATATGAGAGGCTCGTGCTTGGAATTCAGAATGCCATAAACCAACACGTTTTCCGTGATATGCACAGACAGTGGCGTATTTTGCTCGACTTTGGGCGTCGTGATAGTATGCGATAGTATTGCTCTGATTGATTGTCTGGTTCGAAACATACCCAACCATCGCTGGTGTCTCCTCACGTGTCGGCCTTCTCCCCAGGCCGGTCACGGCCGGTGGTGGTCGTGGGCAACAAGGTGGACCTGTTGCCGCAAGACAGCGAGGGATACCTGGAGCGCGTGAAGGCGGCGCTGAACCTGGCCCTGGAGCGGTGCGGTATCGATCGGCTGAACGTGAAGCACACCTGTCTGATCAGCGCTCGCAGCGGCTACGGCGTGGAGGATCTCATCACCGTCCTGCAGACACACTGGAGAGACCAGGGTACAAGTATTTTCCTTTTGCAGCTGCCGTGTTTCGTCCGTATTTTTGCCCACGGAGCAGAGGTGTCCACCAGAGGAGATGGCCGGTGCTCCGTCTCGCACGTGTCCACGGCTGAGACCGGGGTGCGACAGTCCTCCGTCCTGCAGACACGCTGGGGACGTCCGGATACGAAAGCTCACTGTCCTACACAGACTCACTGGAAGACAGAGAGGGGGAGGGAGGGGAGGGGGGGGGGGGGGGCACAACGCCGCACTTCCACAACGCCGCAGGAGGAAGAAGTCGATCTCATTCTTACGTGCTGAAAAGACCGGGGTACACTTGTGATCAGTTGCCACAGTTCCCACAAATGTGTGACCTCGCTCAGCGGCTCTTGCGCCTCGTTGCTCCGTGATCAACGCGTGAGCTTCCCTCACTTTTCGGTGCAAGTGTGAAGCCACCGGCTGTTGGGTCGATGTTGGTTTTAAGGTGCTAGGTGACTTAGGGCAATCGAAACAACCGACCAATCCACATGCATTCGTGAGACAAACGGCACGAGTCTTCACAGTCCAGACTAGGGCGCCACCGCACATCAGTTAGTTCTAAGAGCGCCGTTGCCCGGTCCAAAGCTCGTCAGCTCCCGCTGCTGTTGCAGGTGACGTGTACTTACTGGGCTGCACCAATGTGGGCAAGTCAACGCTGTTCAACACGCTGCTGCAGTCGGACCTGTGCAAGTCCGCGGCGCACGATCTTATCCGGCGCGCCACCGCCTCCCGCTGGCCGGGCACCACGCTCAACCTGCTCAAGGTGACGCCACTCAGGTCTTCCCTAGCTCCCATCCCTGCTGCTGGCGTGACCCTGGCTCCCACCCCACGTACCCGCCTGACCCTGGCTTCCACCCCCATGTATTGGCCGGACCCTGGCCCCCACCCCCATGCACTGGCCTGACCCTGGTTGCCACCTATATGTGCTAAGCCGACCCTGGCTCCCACCCGTTTTCGGTCAGCCTAGCTCCCCACCCACCCTGTGTACTGACCAGATCCTGGCTCTCACCCTGCGTAGTGACCTAACCCTGGCTCCTACCCCCATATACCGACCAGGCACAAGCTCCCACTTCACCGTGCTGATCCGAGCACTGGCTCCCAGCCCTCTGCACTGACTGTCTCCAGATCCCATCCCTTGTGCCCGATCCAGTGTGTCAAAGTTCAAGATTTCGACTGAAAATTAGTATCCCCAAGCATACCGTAAAAAGTTATGCAAAAAAGCAGCATATTGCCCCGACTATGTACAGTCTGTGATTATCCTGCATTGGTAGTTACAGTGACATGGCGGAAATTCCCTCGCCTCCAATGTCCTCATGCGACTTTCGTTCTTATTCTGGGCTGTGGTCGCGCATTACAGTTTCCCATGATGCGTCCGCAAGAGTTCCACATTCACAAACGTCTGCACCGGTTGCGGAAGGAGAAAAACTGGAGAAGAGAGGAACAGAGGCTGAGAGAATCGCGCCTGCAGGAGACTGGGGACCCAAAATACGCCATGCTGACAGGTTCTGCATCTGAAGATTGTTGTTACCGATTGACAGTCTTGCTCGTCAACACATTGGCGGCAGCGTTACCTACGGCTGAACCATTATAAAGGAATACAATCGTAGATGCCTGCAGCATCATGAAGCATTTCAGTTTGGTCTATTTAAGCTAGCAACTAGCCATCAATGACATCAAGTTTTATTGTCACTGCAGAACTGTATTATGCCAGCAGCTATTTCATCACTTTCCTTTCTGCCTCACGTCAGCCACCGAGCCGCCGCATCTTCCCCGCACGCACGTCCGCTACGTCGCGCGGAGCAGCGTCCGTCGCTCTGGCTCTGGCCTGGGAGGCGGCCGCGCCGGTGCCTCAGCGCGCCCCGCCCCTCCCCGCCCGCGGTTGTGACGGCGCGCGGCTCCTTTAGGTCACATTGGACGCACCTTCCGTGGCCAGCGAGCGCGCGACGGGGAGGCCGCAGTGCTGCCGGCCGAGGCGCCGCCGCCCACTGAGCGGCTGGGGGGCATCGCGGCCGACGACCCGCGCTTCCCCACCGGCCGCTGGGTGTACGACACGCCCGGCTTTATCACTCCTGATCAGGTGTGTGATCCCACCGGCCGCTGGGTGTGCGACACGCCCGGCATTATCACTCCTGACCAGGTGTGTGATCCCACCGGCCGCTGGGTGTGCGACACGCCCGGCTTCGTCACCCTCGGCCAGGTATGTATCAGATGTGTGGTTTGTGTTCCCACCGGGCGCTGGGTGTATGGCATGTGCGGCTTCCCCGGTCAGGTGTGTGATCCCAGCTGACGCAGGAACGGCACTGCTGCTACAGCTGCTGACCAAGCTGATGCAGCCGTCGGTAACGGTGACTCGGCCGTAGTGTTACAGCTGCTGACCGAGCTGATGCAGCCGTTGGTAACGGTGACTCGGCCGTAGTGTTACAGCTGCTGACCGAGCTGACCTAGGATGAGTTGTTTGTAACTGCGGCATTTGTTGCAGCGTCCAGCCCAGCTGAGCAACGACGCACTGTCGCCGACTAAGTCGACCTTGTTACAGCTGCTGACTCAGCTGACTCAGGAGGAGCTGTTGCTGACGCTGACGCGGCAGTTGCTGCAGCCCCGCACGTTCTCCCTGTACCGCGGCCAGTCGCTTTTCATCGCCGGCCTGGCCCGGCTCGACTACAGGGCCGGTCCCAGCATGGCTAGGTGAGCGTCATGCGGCCACGCGGCTGTTCAGGGAGCACTCCGCTCTGGGGTGTCACTACCCTGGCGCCGCTTGGGCGGTTCTTGGGCGATGCTTGGAACGAGATGTGAGGAAACGTTGGTGCGGCGTCCGGTAGATGGGGGGTATGCAGCCTTCAATTCACGAGGGTAAATCTGAATGATTGGGCCTCGGTTGGTGGGTACCGTTCTCACTGTTTAATAGCTATATGACGAAGTAGATCGGTCAAAAGTGGGGTTACCTCGCCTGGCTTCTATCGACTGCACCAAGACATCAACTGTGATGTGTTGCGTTGTACCCCGGTATATCGGAGGTGGATCCTGGGAGTGCTCGGGCCGGCCCGCCAACAGGCAAGAACCGAGGCCGATCTGACACCGGTGCGGGAGGCTGATGCCGCCGGATGCAGCAGAAGTCGGAGAAATGGTTTAGCTCCCACGTCTTTATCACGCGCTGGTGTTGCAGGCTGACTGTGTTCGCATCCTCCGAACTCCCCGTCACCGTCACGGCCACCGAGGACGCAGACGACATCTACCGGCAGTATCTGGACTCGGGCCTGTTTGTGGTGCCGCGTGGCGGCGCCAAGCGCCTGGCGCGCTGGCCGGGACTGGAGCCGAAGGATGTGACGGTGACGGGCGGCAGCGTGACGGAGAGCGCGGCCGACATCGTCCTCTCCTCCGCCGGTCAGTGAGGCCAGCGCCGGTTATTAGCTGCACAATGGTTTTCTCGCGGTGGCGGGGATTCGCAAATTACATTTCACCGAGGACAGGCGCCGACAGTCAGTCGCACGAGGCGGTTTGATAAGTCATTGCCGTGGTACCGGCACGATATCCCGGAGCCTGTAGCTCGGTGTAGATAGAGGAGACCGAACGACTCGAGAGAACCACGTACTAGATATGGGTGGCCCGTTTCGGTAAGCGCCGGACGCTAAGGCCACTGGGCGCTGATACAACCGTCTTGGTCACTAGCGCTACCTAGAGCTAAGAGACTTCATTCTGAGATGCACGCCACGCCGCGCGTGAGATGCACGTAGCTTTGAAAACGACACCCGAGGCACCTGGCCAGCGGCCGGCTGACGAGAGCCCCACGTACGCACAGGTTGGGCCGCCGTGACGCCAGCCGAGGACCGTTCTGGCGACGGCGAGACGGAACTGAAGTTCACGGCGTACACGCCGGGCGGCGCTGGCGTGTTCGTGCGCGCGCCGCCGACACTGCCGCACGCGGTGCGTCTGCGGGGCCGCCGGCGGCACGGCTCGCCGGCGCACAAGCTCGGCACCCTGCACCAGCTGAGAGCGGCGCGCCGGTGACGCCGGCAGGGCTGGGCATCCGCACTGCGTCCGCCGTCTGTGCGATTGGGGAGGAACGATGTCCACCGTCTGCGTGGCGAGGGACGACGTCCGCCGGCCGCTTGACTCGAGCGGGGCGACGTCCGCCGGCCGTTTGACTCGAGCGGGACGACGTCCGCCGGCCGTTTGACTCGAGCGGGACGACGTCCGCCGGCCGTTTGACTCGAGGGGGACGACTGCTGCCGTCTGCGACTTCTGAGCTTCTTATTCGCGACCGATGGTTGTCTTCTGCACGACTGGTTCGCGAAGCAGTATTTTCGCAACCGCAATACAGTGATGCCATTCATGTGCAGATCCCACCCATTTGTTTACTTTTGAAGTATCAACCGGCTGCTGTCGGCGCCGTCGTATGACTTCTTTGGCGTAAAGGCACAGCTATGAACGCCCATGCCCGCCACTACGCGGTGCGCTCGGCTGATTTCACCTAGTCTCGTTCTCGCTCAGGCATTATTCGACATGCTGAGAACTTTCTGGACATGTTTGTGATGATACCATGTACAAAGCCGTATGGGCCGTGTAAGCGCTCCTTCCGCGCTGCGTTCGGCCCGTATCTGCGCCTCTCTCAAGAACGTCCAGTCACCAGGCGTGTGCATTTGTACCTAAACTTGGCCAGGACGTCCGCCCGGCCCTGACAACACGAGGCTCTAACGGCCGGCCAGCTTCCAGGTTTGGACGGACGAGGGGGTTGGGCCGCGCCTCATGTACTGACCAGCACACACCTCACCGACGGGGACGGGGCCGGGGTCGGGGCCACGGGCGGACCCGCGGTCAGTGGACGATGGAGAGAGACACGGCCCAGAGCGCCACCCCTTTCAAAAGTCAAGGCATTTTCGTATCACAAGACTAATCGGTGCCAGCTATGGCAGGTGTGCCTGCGGACGAGCAGCGGCCCCGAGACACCGCTGTCCCACACGAGCCGCTACTGGGCTTCGACACTAACGTAAACCTTCGGGGCCTCACAGCACGTTCCATTTCTGGAGTCGTACTGAAGACAACACTGAACTAATGTCATACGAAGACAACATTCACGACCACCCCAGTGCGCCCCACGATCAAAAGAAGCGCGGGTTGCATAGTCACTTTGAAAACGTCAGACAGCGGACGTAACTGTAGGCTCCACGACACCTCGGAGCGATATCATTAAGCTCAAGTTTGTTCGCCGTGTCCAACTTACGAAATGCCGAAAGTAACGGCCGCGTCCCATCGATGGTTTGTACTGATAGAGCACGTAGAAAATGACTAAAAGTGACTAGCATCGTTCCGACATGACGCTGACTAGAGCAGCCGACTAGGGCTGTGCGCCGACACCGTAGTTGTGCTGAGCAGTTCGCCGCCAGCCTGCCGCACCACGATCGCTTGGCGCTCGGACACGTGATGGCCGCGGCGAGATTCCGTGAGACGTGACATGGTGATGCACGGCCGCGACACACCACGTGACCACCAGCGGTCAAAGCGCATAGCTGGGCTCCACTGATCACTGACTCTGGCTAGACTACGACTCGACACCGCGGACTTGACACCGACTCGTGAGCGGAACAGCTGCAGGACTATCCTGGCTAGTGCATACGCTATCACCGTGAGCTGGGCTCCGCCTTGTCTGACGAGTACTGGGACACGGCGCAGTGGAAAGTCGGATCTCCGTACCGCCCGAAGCTGACACATGGCGGGTCAGACCCGTCATTACCACACACAGCACGGCTCGGCGTAGTACCACGCGAGACCCGCAGGTGGCGGGGCGAGCGGTCGGTTACTGGACGCTGCAGGGTCGGACCTCAGTACTAGACCACACCGGCAGATGGCGGGGCGAGCGCACAGCTATTGGACGCTGCACGGTCGGGCTCCGGTGCTGCGCGAGACCGGCAGATGGCGGGCCCGGCGCCGCAGTCCCTCCAGGAACACGGCCCGGTTGAACTGTCCGGCAGCCAGCGGGATGCTGCAACAGGCCGATTGTGAGCCGGCAAACAGACGGTGGATGAGAGTAAAGACCATCTGGCCAGAACGAGGAAACGCCTAAAATGCACCATTCCTGTCTCCAAAGCATGCCAAGCGAAGACAAAACCGTTCGCATGAGGTTTTTTTTTTACCTCTGACTTGGTATTTGGGTGCAAAGTGTTCGATGTGCTTTTACCATGGACCGGATTGCAATACCATGGACTGAATGGCAAGCCAACACAAAGAAGCATCCAGCACTCAAACGATGGACGTACTGCGTCGGCGCGAGCAGGGGCAAACACCGGTGGCTCGTGTCGCATCGACGGGGACCGTCAGGTCGCCACTCACTTGTCCATGCTGGGTCGGACCTGGCACTGGTACAGGCCCCACACGGGCTTGTGGTCCGACGTGTTGAAGGCGTGCACCGAGTCGTACTTGACGCACCTGAGACGACAGAAGACCATGGTGAGCCCAGACGTCACCGCACAAGTCCGCGCCAGCAGCAGCCCGTATCACGACGGAACGTTGTCCAACCATTTCGGCGAAGAAATCCGGCGCCACGCTACAACGGCGGGTTGCCGCCAGCGACTCAGCAAAGACCAGCAACCGACAAAATGCCGGCGAGCCGATCCTCCCGCACGCCGCAGCAAAAAAAAAACAACAAAAAAAACGACCATCCGGCGATGGCATCCAACACCCGACGGCGGCTGGCACCTCACGCACGCGAGGCTGCGGATAGCTCGGCCACGGTCACCGCGGCCGGATTGGCGATGTGGGACTCACCGCACACCGTCGCGCCGGCTCTTGAACAGAATGCGGTCGGTGTAGGCCGGGATGCGCTGCTTGGAGGACGTGTCGAAGTTGTTGGTGCCCGGGTCGTACTTGTAGGTGGGCAGGAACGCGATGTCGCCCTCGCTGAAGCCCTCGAAGGCGCGCCCTGGCGGCGGGGCGAACATGGGCCTCACAAGGCCATCACGCGCCTGTTCTCAGCACGGCTCAGCCCTCATTCCGGCGACGACCGGCCGTCGCCGACTGGCCGAACCTGGGAACCACGCTGCAATGTCGCAGCTCTGATTCCGTCCACGCGAGCCATACCTCATGTCTCACGCCCTGGGCCACAGCCATTGCGTCGGAGTAAGGCCGCCTGGAGTCACCGCTCAGCCGGCGACGCGGGCACGCACGCCGCGTGGCGCTCTTTGTGGCTTGTGACAACTGGCCGATCTGCTTCACTCTCCACGTCATTATTACGTTATGCATATAGAAGTTTGTACGTTACGTCAGCCCTGCTTAATACTAAATGTTAACGTTAACGCCATGGACCATTGGAAGCGACGTATGCACTTCTCACAATGGCCACGCGGCAGAGTTTGGATCCGGTGACCAAAAGGAAGGCCGGTTCAACAGAGTAACGAACAATCTCGGCACACCGCAGCCCCCGCGGCTCCACTCGAGCAGGTCTGCGGGCGCCCGGAGCCCCGACGGCGCGTGCCGTCACCCACAGGCTACAAAAGCGGCATACCTTTCTGCTTGGCGTGGTTCAGCTGGTCCCACTCGAGCAGGCTGCGTATGGTGGCGTCCGACATGGGCCGCTCGCACAGCAGGATGGAGGTGGAGCTCTCGACGATGGTGTCAATCACGCGCGGGCGGCTCTGGCTCAGCCGAAAGTTGAGGTCGCCGAACCAGAACACGTTGTCGTAGCGCTCCGTCACGTCTGGCAGCGAGGTCAAGGCGGGTCAGGGAGGTTCGGGGTGGGTCACAGGGTGGGTCGGGGCGAGTCAGATCTCGTCGGGGCGGGGCAGAATCACGTCACAGACCAGTGTCGAGTCGTCAGCTGAGCTGTATGGCGTAACGCAGATGACGGCGTGACGCGTGCCGACGCATCCGCGTCGCTTGAGTCACATCGTAACATTTAGGGATCGTATGCGTATGCATATGGGCTAATTCAATGAAACCAAGATCCGGTTCGTAACGAAACAACGTACAAATGTGAGGTCAGTAACGGCAGCTGAGCGCCATACGGTGGGAAAACCGACGTGTTTCCGGGAGAGACAGATACTATGCGCCAGCGCACATCATGTGTACCGAAAAAGTTTTACTTCGATTGTTCAGAAGACAGCATCAGCTAGCCCACGGTCCCGATTTCTGGTATGGCACATACCGACCGAAGTTAAGGACACGAACACAACCTTAGGCACCTTTAATGCGCCACCAGGATTACTGTCGCTGGGAGCCAGCTGACGGCCCCCTGCCGTCCCGTCCCCGGCTACCTGTGACGAATGTGAGCAATCCCCGCAGCTCACGCTCCGGCTGGGGATCACCTGAGTCAGGTGTGCCCGGCTGTCCACGGCGGCGGGAGCACTCACCGCAGCTCTCGCTCCGACTGGGGATCACCTGCGTTAGGTCTGCCCGGCTGCCCACGGCAGGCGGGAGCACTCACCGCAGCTCTCGCTCCGGCTGGGGATTACCTGAGTTAGGTCTGCCCGGCTGCCCACGGCGGGCAGGAGCACTCACCGCAGCTCTCGCTCCGGCTGGGGATCACCTGAGTTAGGTCTGCCCGGCTGCCCACGGCGGGCAGGAGCACTCACCGCAGCTCACGCTCCGGCTGGGAGATCACCTGAGTTAGGTCTGCCCGGCTGCCCACGGCGGGCAGGAGCACTCACCGCAGCTCACGCTCCGGCTGGGGATCGCCTCAGGCCGACGGCCCCCTGCCGTCCCCGGGAGCACTCACCGCGGCTCTCGCTCCGACTGGGGATCGCCTCAGGCAGCTGACGGGCCCCTGCCGTCCCATCCCCGGCTGTCCACAGCGGGCGGGAGCACTCACCGCGGCTCTCGCTCCGGCTGGGGATCGCCTGAGGCAGGTCGAGCGCGGCGCAGATGCGTCTTACGTCGTCAATACGCTGGTTCTGCTTCTCGAGGTGCGCCGTTAGGTGGCAGGTCAGAAGCAAGAATGTCGTCCCTAGATCAGGCGTTTCAGTAAAAGCGCTGTCCACAAGCAAAGCCACACATGCTTGCGACCGTTTTTTCCTCTACGGCCCACGCATGTACAATTACTAAAATTACAGCGTGAAGAGATTCGATGCCTTAAATGGCACTTAGCCGCTCTACGATCAAATCACAGTGAGCAGTCTAGCTGTGGGAAATTTTCGGTGCCGCGTGACAAATTTACAACGTAATTTCGATATTTATGCACAATCTCGTCTGATCGCTTCAGTCAGCTATAGGCTTAAAATACCAACGGGCCGCTGTCAACGGACCAGATGACACGGGCACGTCGCCCCCAATTCAGCCATCAACGTGAACACATCGCCCACGAGCAAACCTAAAAATCACTGCGAACGCTTGTTACCGTACCGTCATTACCTCGTCTGGAAGTAAAATTACCACGTGCTATACATATATCGAAATTCCTTACGAGCCTGGATGTCTTCATCACTTAGCGAACCGATTTACGACCAACAACAACCGTAATTCTACGCCTTAAGAGAAAAATGACAGCACCCAACAGCAAAGTTGCGACTTGATTGCAATAGCCGTGAACACGCCATCTTGCCTTATTGCTCACGATTACTCAAAGCTTTAGCTTCATGTTAGTGTTGCACCACCCACACAAATAAAATTGCCCTCAACTATGCTATTGGCAAACCTTACCGAAAAACTGGAACCCGACCGCCACGCAGCCCTTGGTTTTGATCGCCGTCGGCTGGCGGATGCTGAAATTAGCTTCTTCTGGTACTGCGGGAGCAAAACAACCGTGACAGCACGCCCCCAAATGCTGAGCATCTCCACAGCTTTGAAATCCACCGGGGGAAGCGTGTTGACGCCAGGAGCAGCCGACGAGTCGTGCGTCGGGTTCAACCTTTTAACGCTTACATATCCAACTGCTATGTGCTAAAGGGATGCAAATAATAATCACACACATCAAAGCGTGTTGGCACTAACGCGTCACAAGCCGCTACGGCCTGCGAGGTGCACGACGCCTCCGTCTGTGCCTCAGGGCGTGTGACCTCTCACGAGCCGTGCGAGCTGTGAGCCTGCGTGCTGGCTGACCTGAGCAGTACCAGACGAGGTCGCGCCGGATGAAGATGCAGATGTGCAGCGTGCCGAGCGAGGCCGAGTGGAAGAGCACGTGGCTGGGGCCGAGCGTGGACTGCAGGCGCACCAGCAGACCGCGGTGGTCGGCGTGTGACTCCTGCGTGCCCAGTACCACCAGGTCCGGGACGAACGCCAACGAGTCGGGCAGCACCAGGTCATCCAGGCAGGCGGGCGGCTCCTGCGGCAGGCGGGATTACATCATCCAGCAAGAGAGCTACTGCAACACACGTCCACAGGCAGAACGGTGGCAAATGCGACTGCTGCCGTGTTTCCTTCTGTGAAGTACGTCAATGGGTTGATGTTAGCTTTTCCGGACATGGGAACCTGCCCCCCCCCCCCTTCCATCAGGTGTCCGCCTTCCCCGCTGCGTGCGTGGGGAAGCGTGGCACGTAAACAACTTCATATGCACCTAGGTCCAATTATGACCATCAGTTACCACCTGGCCCTGCCAGATGTAGATGTAACAAATTAATGTCCGCCTAGCCTCTACCAAGGCCAACAGTGAGAACACGTCGTTGCATCAGAGGGCGAAGGTTCATATACATAGGCGGATTCTCGGGGGGGGGGGGGGGCCCAAACATTCCCAGAACAGGCGGGGTCAGCACTGGTCGCCGGCTACCGAGGATGCGCCGCCCGGCGGGGGCGGCGCCCCCCAAACCTCTGAGAGCATGTTTTGCCCCCCCCCCCCAAACATTCCCAGAACTTCATAAAAGTTTCGTCTACTTACCACCTGTTTTAGCATTAACCGTTTTAACTGTTTTGTTTTAACTTCTGTTTAATATTTAAAAGCATTTCGGTGTTTTTTCGGTTTTGAATGGTGTCCCTACTAGGTACTTGCGAGAGGCACCATGCACTGGACCTGGGATCCCACACCGGACAGCTGGCGAGGAACGGCTGGCACCCCCACCGCCAAAACTCCAGGCTAAATCCGCCCCTGTTCATATACACCGGAGTCGGGACATTACGTATTCAGTCATGCCCTGACCTCTGGCCTAAGATAGCGACCAAGCACGGGACCATTACGTCAGAGGTGACACTGATCCACTGCACCATGACAGGGCCAACGCCGCTGCCTGACTGGGCAGCTGGCGGCCGGCGGCCGGCGGCGTTACACCGACCTTGGCGTTCATATTCCAGGTGCCGACCAGCACGTTGACCTGGCGCTGGGGCAGGCAGGCATTAAGCTCGTCGGCGCCCAGCAGCAGCGCGCTGCCGGTCGTGTTGACCAGATAACCCCTGCGGCGGCGGCGGGGTCAGCACTGGTCGCCGGCTACCGAGGATGCGCCGCCCAGCGGGGGCGGCGGGGCGCGGCAACCGCGCTAGTCAGCAGGGACGCTGGGGCGCGGCAGCCGAGCTGGCCAGCAGGGACAGCGGGGCGCGGCAGCCAAGCCGGCGCGCAGCCACTAGCTATCTTGACTGGTGAGCGTGTGCTCGCTGTCATTACATTAAGACATTCATCAATCGGAACATGCATTTTGCAAATGCAGTAACTGAGAAGCGAACCAGTGTATCGGCAGTAAAGCTTTAAAAAAAGATTTCATTTTCATGGTTTCTGGGATCGCCACCACATTTCTCGACTACGATGTGCTGCCTAGCCATGAAAAGATGACGTTGATGATGCTGAAGTTGATGCAAAAGTTGTGTGGCGCAGGAGCACTGACCTGCTTCTGGCCTTTTGTACGGTGATGGCACTGAGCGGGCTGCCTCCCGACAGCTCTGAGCAGCTGCTAAGCGTCTCCACACTGCCGGCCAGGCCGGCCGGGAACGACCTGGCCAGCAGAAACAGACGCCCGTCGGAGTCGCATCACCAGCCAGCCGGCCGGTAACAACACCGCACAGACAGGCGCTCATTAAAGCACTAACTTCGCAGTTAGGATCTCCCCACACGAATACGTTCATCACATAACTGAAATGACAGTGAGCATCTGCCGTACAGGACGGCCCAACAAGCAGTCAAACAAAGGGAAAACCACATCAATCGGCGTCACCAGCAGCAGCCGTGACCGCGCCCATCGCCGCACCGTCGCCGCCCGGCGCGCCAAGCCCACCTGGTCCGATGTGCGGCCGCCATCGGACTGCTCCACTGGAGGCCGGGGCTGGCGCGCGCCGGCCCGTTTGCCGCCGGGTACTGCAGGTCGTTGGTGGAGTGCGCGTGCGCCATGGGCTGGACAGCCAGCAGGGCGGCCGCGTCGGCGTCCGACGAGCCGCTGCTTACAGCGGGCGAAGTTACGAGCGTGTCGCCCCGCACCGACCGGCCGGCTGTGCCGTTGGACGCCGCGCCATCCGCCGTCGCTCCGGTCGCCCGGTCCAGCGGGAGGGTGCGGCCACCGGCGGCGGCCAGGCCGCGCTGCCCCGAAGCGGCGGTGGCGGCCGGCAGCGGCTGCTGAGCGGTGGCCGAAGGCGGCGACTCCCAGCCAAGCCGGCGGGCCTCGCTGGCGTTGACCGGCACCGTCGCTGCAGACGCCGGGTACGAGTGCCGGTTGGGGCGGACAGTCACTCCGGCCTGGCGGAGGGTGGCGCTCTTCTCCATGGTAGGCCTCGCTGCGCTGGGGTGACGTTTTGCCACCTCGGGCGCTTGCGGGCCATTCTGAGCAGCGCCAGGAGGCGAGAACTGTGCTCCAGCCCAGCCCTCAATGTTTGTGTTGGGATCTTCATCATGACCAAGAGGTCTTGCGTTGGAGGATGACTTTGCTAAGCCCGTTAAGGATGCATTGTCTTCTGAAACATCTTGTTTATGCTGTGACCGTTCAATAGCCAGACGAGCCAAGGATTTTTTCTTTGACATTTTTTCTTCTTCTATAGGTCAACTCATACTGAAAATAGCACTGATTCAGCACATGATTAATTACACCATAACACATATCATGTGTACACATGTATTATCTAAAGATGATCAGCTAAATTATGCACTTCTTGATGCCTTCACAAACCAAAAAAAGTTCCATGATCTTCCATGAGAACAGGCATACACACATGAGTGCTGCTTTCCACTCAGTTTGGGTAGCACTGTCACCCCCTGCCAATCTCCCAATGCCAACTTTGGGAAGTAGATGAAATCTCATGGGAGCCTGGTTTATTGGCATAATTTAAGGGTAGGTCTTACAATTTTCTGCTGTCCAGCCACCCACCCCACAAACTAATTTTGCTTAACAATGCCCCTGCATGTACACAATTTTTGGTTTGCACATTGTCATACCTGAGTAGCACAATCATGACAACACAGCAATAGCTAAAAATACTTCATGTTGAATATTTATTTAGCAGTGCTATTGGTAGGAAAAAGTGAGTTTCAAAGTTAAATTACATTTTGGTAAATTGATTCAAGTTTTGTCCTTAATCACCAATATGAAAGATCAAGTTCC